AGACGACGCCCGTGTGGCCGCGAAAGTTGTGCGTGCAGTACCCTCTCTCCACGTCCCACACCTTGGCGGTAGAGTCGCTGCTGCCCGTCGCCACCAGAGTACCGGTACTGCGGTGGGAACAGAAGAAAAATGTACGCCAAGAGGGAATGCCCAGGAACAAAAAGCCGAGGGATTTCTCACATGGTGTGGTGCAATACGGATGCCGAGACAAAAAAAATGCAAGAGGGACTGCTCACATGGTATTCAATACGAGGGGAAATGCCGTGGCAAAAAAAAAGAAGAATGAGGCCATTGGCTTGTGTTGCCGTATCAACAGCGCCCCCCTTCTCCCCGAGCCCAGCCGTCCTCTCTCTACAACATAACACTCGAACCAACTAGACCTTAGCAGAAGCATCCGCATGACGTACGCCCCCCAAAAGAAAACCGCGAACGAAAAAAAGCGGGAAAACTGACCAACGCTATTGTGCTCATATGCCTCAGAGAATGGATCTAGATGGTCTTCACGGAGTGTGCAGACGCTATTTGGTCATCCTCAAAGCATCCCCGACGCCCGCACGAACGGCAGCCGCCCGCGAAAACCGCCGGCAGCCGCCACGCTCAGACTGCCCCGCTCTCTTGTGCCTTCTCCGACGCTAGCTCAGAACGAGCCACCATCGGGGGGGGCGAGAGAGAGCATGTGGGGTGGGTAGGCCCGAAGGAATCCATCATCGGCGAGCTTGTGAGTATCATCTAAAGCTTGTGATTATTTTTGAGAATGCTGCCGAAAAAACTCATGATAAAAAACAACAAAACAGAATGGTTGAGAACATACGCCTTGTTAAGCACTGCAAATCCTCGCCTCTCCCATCGTGGCAGACAGGCAAATCAAAAACCGTTAGACGGTGGTGCCCCTAGCATCGAGTCTTGAACGGACGCCGACAACAGGATACGAGATGGTCATATTCATGGTTCCGGGGGAGGGATATGTCAACGCTCTCTTGCTCATGCGCCTCAAAGAATGGATCTAGATGGTCATCACGATGTGTACAGACGCTTTTTTGTCATCCTTCAAGAGTCCCAGACGCCCGGACGAACGGCAGCCACCCGCGAAAACCGCAGGCAGCCGCCACGCTCAGACTGCCCCGCTCTCTCGTGACTTCTCCGACGGCGGCTCAGAACGAGCCACCACCGGCGAGGGCGCGAGAGAGCATGTGGGGTGGGTAGGCCCGAAGGAATCCATCATCGGCGAGCTTGGGATTGCTAACGCTTCTAGACTGCTTGAACACCGGCAACTAATGAAAAAGCAACAACCCAGAGGTGGTTGAGAACACCGGCCTTGCCTCTCCAATGGTGGCAGGCAGAGGCAAACAAAAAAAAACTACTACACGGCGGTGCCCCCAGCATCAACCTTGAAGGGCACACAAAAAAAAAAAACAGGATACGAGATTCGTGGTTTTGGAAGAAGGATGGTTCAACGCTCTCGTGCTCATGCGCCTCAAAGAATGGATCTAGATGGTCATCACGGTGTGTGCAGACGCTTTTTTGTCATCCTTCAAGCATCCCCGACGCCCGCACAGTGGCAGCCACCCGCGAAAACCGCAGGTAGCCGCCGCGCTTAGACTGCCCCGCTCTTTCGTGACTTCTCCAACGGTGGCTCAGAACGAGCCACCACCGGCGAGGGCGCGAGAGAGCATGTGGGGTGGGTAGGCCCGAAGAAATCGATCATCGGCGAGAGCAGAGTAAAAGCGGCCAAGGAAATACTGGGTGTTGTGGTTCGGAGGCAACAATCCATTCTGCGTCCAGAGAGTCTAAACAACAACGGAGACTAAAACAAGTCCTTCTCGAAACAGCAGCTAAGGACGCGGGATCGGAATATCCAAGAAAAAGAGGTAAACAGGCCAGACGACACAAAACGAAGCCATTATCCAAGCACCTTATTGTACACAGCAGAAAATTACCCTTTCACGAAAAGCTCTCTCGTGCTCATGCGCCTCAAAGAATGGATCTAGATGGTCATCACGATGTGTACAGACGCTTTTTTGTCATCCTTCAAGAGTCCCCGACGCCCGCACGAACGGCAGCCACCCGCGAAAACCGCAGGTAGCCGCCGCGCTTAGACTGCCCCACTCTCTCGTGACTTCTCCGACGGCGGCTCAGAACGAGCCACCACCGGCGAGGGCGCGAGAGAGCGCGTGGGGTGGGTAGGCCCGAAGGAATCGATCATCGGCGAGAGCGGGGTAGAGCCTTGAAACATCGACGACAAACACGATTATTTGCCGCCTTTGAAAATTACCACGAGAAAAAATAAAAAACGCATAATAGCAGCCGCAGGCAAGCCGCTCACAGATCGCTGTTTTCACTCCTGCTTCTTGGTGGTGTTGGTGCGCTCTCAACGCTCGTCCTTTGTCGGACTTTCGTACATGGAAGACACCCAGGCACACAGAAATGACAATGTTTGTCCCTGTACAAACCACCCTCTAGAGACCATGATTCCTCGTCGTCAAAAGGCCGACAAGCTTGATCGCCGCAGGATACGTGGATCGCAACGGGTTCTCATAATCTAGAGGTGCGTTACACGGCCACGGGACAGCAGTGCGCACGCGAAGCATGAGACCCACCCATCGTAGTCCATGCATCGGACGATGTGATCGTGGGCCTTGATGGCCCGCTTGCAGTCCCCTGTAGCGATCTCCCAATGCCGGAGTAGGAGACTTCGGCTGGCGGTCACGATCTCCGACCCGTTCGGGTGCAGAGCAAAGGATACCTACCAAATGTATTCGAAGTTGAAGAACCGAACAAGAATAAAAAAGGGCACTTTGCGCGCATATCTATGTAGGCTGTACGACAGGTGACTGTTGCGGAACCGAAGAACAGTATCATAGTGCAAATGGCAGTTAGGATGCATTCATGCAACATCGTCGTGAACGCTGCTGCGGGCATAAACAGACAACTCGCTACAAGCACCCCTTTTTCTACGAAACGGCTTCGATTCATTTAGGTGACACAGAGTGGCGAGAAAGCATCTGCGTGCCTGGCCAGACCATGAAACCTCCGATGCGGGAAGAAAAGCACACATGCCGCGGGCAACACACGAACCCCTCAACCAGCACCGAGGAGGCGTGTAGCCCAAAACATGCAAGACTGACGATCCCGACTTTGTGGAGACCTTACGTTCCCCCAACTACAGCACTGTTGTTTCTGCTTTCAAGTGACGCACAATTTCTTCCTCGCCTCCGGGGCTCCCCTCGCTTCTGAGGCGCTTGGTCACAACCCCCTCCTCCACGTCGACGAAGGACACGTCCCACTCGTACAGGCAGGCCAGGAACTTGCCATCCCTGCTGAGCTCGACCTTTCCTCCGCTGAGCAGGTTGGTCGATGCAAGAGCAGACAGAGCAGGCAGAGAAACAAATAGAGCGGGTGTAAGAGAGGTTGCCCACGATATTCACGGCCAGTTATGGGTGCGGGGTGGGGAGGTGGCACGACTCGTCATTTACATCCGAAGAGCAGGGCTTGTCGTCGCTCGTGATACTGCCGTGCCCTCCCGAAGTCGATACGACATACTTAATATTAGTGATGGGTGAACCGGCCTGTAGCTGGTGCGCGATGCTGGGTTTCAAGAGTCGGCGCCCAAGCCAGGAGCACCAGTGAGTACATCATGCCGTGCCCGCGTGGTGATGATTGCTGCACCTTCACCATTGGCGGCTGATTCAAGGGGGGCGCTCATCGGTACTTACTGCTGCGCGATACTACTGCTGTATCAGCCATGTACCGTGGTTAAGAACGGAGAGGGCGCCACCCTGTCGGAAGCGCGACTGCATAAAACCCTACAGGACAAGTTATACGTGGTGGCGAGAGGCGTCTGCAGAAACGGCATTCACGCGAGCGCAAACGGGTAGATGCTGGGCGTGATATGCTACGAATGTCTCGGGTAACGGGTTCATGTCATTTACACATCGCCACACAACATGATCGCAGGATAATGACTGCCCCTGTTGGTGGTATTTAGTGGATGTTTTTACTCGACACGCGGCTGACAGAAAGTGCAGCAGAAACCTGCCGTTTTACTGTCCATTGAACACGTGAACACCGCCGCGAAGGTGGGCGTGAACGAATCGGCCGACACACAAGACATCTCCTATCACTCACTGCGATGCACGGCCACTCATGTCCCCAAGCAAGGTACTGGCCGCTGCTGTGGACCACGGCGCATGGCGTGGAAGCTGCGCGGCGTGGAAGCTGCGCGAATGCTAGGGAAAGAAGTCTCCGGTAGCATAGAAAGTACCGTTGTGGATAACCCAGTGTTTGTACGTGCAACTGGCCGGTACACGACGGTTTTGGTGCTCTGGTCTCTCTCGCAGGCTTGTGCTGCTACTGCTGGCGGTACATCCGTACGAGGCGGCCGCGGATACGTTTGAAAAACACACGATATGATTGCTTACCTGAAAGCTCCCTTGTGCGCCTTGGAAACTTCCCACGCCTTACTCAGTGAAGGACCACGTGTTGTAGAAGCCACCTTGAGCATATCTACTCAGCTCGTGGGCAATAGATGCCGACTGCGGAGTACACCCACTGCTGTCGAGTCCCAGCAACTCAGTGAAGCGGGGCATCACAGATAATAGTCTTGTGTATGTTAACTTATTCTTATTCGCAGACCCCCTTCTCAAAGGTCAAATTCCCAGTGCAGCAACACGCAACTTTTGGACAAGAACAGCAGGATCCCACTCCCCCCCGGCGCTTTGGCACTACTGCAGCGACACCTTCGAGCTGTGGGATGGTCGCGTACATGAACCCTTCCGCCGCACGTTGATACGTTGATATCTTGTACTTCGGGGGGATTCGATTGTCAACGTCCGCGGTGTGCTGGTACACTACAGCTGGTGCGTGCGTGACAGTTGAGACTTTTTCTTACGCAGAGGAGCATAGAGAGAGAGAGAGCTCTCCTGTTTGATACCAACGCGTGCAGCACGGCTGAGATCCACACCCCGCCAGCGGCGGAGAGATATACCCGGATCAGACGTGCCATGGCATGTGAGGTAGACATGGAAAAGCACAGCAGCAGTCAAGACTATCAACCGAAGGACGTGGGTCATAGCGAAGTTTCAAAACAAAACAGCAACGGCTTCGCCTGGTGGAGACCTCGTTCTATCCTCCGAGCATCCCTTGCCGATGTCTCCCTCAGCACCACCAACACCAGCGTCGTCAGCAACAGCAACAGCAACAGCAACAGTTCCCCGCCGCTACCGCACCAAGGCGGCGGAGAGGGAGAGGGAGAGGGAGAGTCGTCTCCCTCCTCGCTGTTCGACGTAGCAGCGGCAGCACAACAGCAGCAGTTCGAGACACAGCTCAAGCCCAAGATCCAGCACCACAGCAACTGGACCAGAGGCAGCAGGGACGGCACCGAGGCACCGTCCCCCGACGAGGACGATGCCACCAACAACCACCACAATGACGCCGACTCTGCTACTGCTGCATCGCCGTCGCTCCTGCCGGCGTACAACAACGACTCGGCCCGGCGGCGACGACCAGAGCAAGGCCTCCTCGGATCCTCGTCCGGAAAGCTCAAGTCCCTCAAGCTCGCCCCGATAGGCTCGGAGCAACTCGCAAAGCACACAGCAGCAGCAGCAGCAGTGGATTCGGATCGCCCTGGGACTCCTGTCAGGGGTGGCGGTATTGGCAGCACCTGGTGCGTGGGCCCTCTGCAGGTTCGTCGGCAGGAGCAGCAGGACGAGCAGCAGCGGCGGCGGTTGGACGAGCAACGGCGCACGCCTTCCAAGCCGCCGCGGACTAACCACCACGCCGGCGCCGTGGGCGCCCGCTTCGCCGTGGCTAGCGAGGGGGGCATGGGTACGCTCGGCGAGAAGGCTACGGCGCAAGCGGGGGTGGGAGAGGGCAGCTGGAGGGAGGAGGGCATGGACGACGAGACCGCGGCAGAGGTTAGCACCACCAGCGTCGTCTACGATGTCCTTGCGGTGGATCGGGGGTGCGGGTACTGCGACACCTCCGTGGTGCCGTTCCCCGTGGAGGAGGGGGGCCAGGTGGCGGCGGAGCGGATGAGAGCCTTGACCTCCGGCCAAGGGGAATTTCTGGCGAGAAGGTGAGTCGGCGGGTGCGTACGTGCTCATGTTTGCGTGATTGTGGGTTGAAATATGGAATATGGAACGTACATAGAGACAACAACCATCGCCACCTACCCGGGGGTCAAGCCCATATTGACGGTATGTGCTTCTTCGTTCGCGCGTGGCATGTTGTATGTTGTGCTGTGCCCCCCCCCCCCCCCCCCCAAAACCCCCCCCTTTTAAAAAAAAAAAAAATCTATCCCCCCGGGGCCCGGGGGGAAAACCCTGAATTTCCCCAACAAAAAATCTCTACCTAACGGCCCCTGGGGGCTGGGGGTTTTTTTAAAAAAAAAGGTTTTTTTTGGGGGGGAATGGAAAAATGTGTCGGAAGGGCCAAGTATTGGGTCCAATTCAAACCGGAAAGAAAATTGGGTCGGTCGTCAAGGGGCAAAAGGCCCCTCCCCCCCAAAGCCCGCGTGGGGGTTTTGGTGCGGCAAAATTTTTAAAATGTTGTCTCTTCCCAAAAAAACCCCTTGAACCCCCAATTTTAACAACAAAAACTTTTTTTTAAAATGGAAAAATAAAAATCAATTCCTAACCCAAAAAAAAAAACCGGGGCCACCTTTTGGTTAAATCTGTGGGGCTGTTTAAAACCGGCCCGCAAAAAACAATAAAAAAAACTGAAAAACCCCCCGTGCCCCGGGTCCTTTGGCGGTTTCTCTGAATGCCCCCA